GCCAGACAAGCTTGTTGACCTACCTGCATCAGGGTCCTCACGTTGAAGGCTTCCAGATTCAGTGGTTGACGAGGCTTTAGAATCTGGAATTCGTTTCGAGATACATTACTTACAGTGCTATTTGGCAATGACCTTTGGCGAGTGACATCCAAGTTGCATGAGGGAATATTACAGGTCGGAAGAAGGGGGAAATGAAGAGGACTGGGTACTGAAGACGAAGAATTAAACAAAGGTNAGGTTGGGATATCTGAGCAATAGCCCACTTATCACTACCTACCCCGCTCGATGCAGTGGGCAGTGCGGTCCTGATTATCCTGCGCGACGACCGATGTAGTATGAAATTATTTTTATTTTGTTGGTACCTTGGGGTTTGATGGAGGGGTACTGCTAGGATGTCCAGTCACTAAGCAGGAGAACGGTTAGGGTTCTCGTCCAAAGCCTTTAGTTTTAACAAGAACCTAACCGCGAGGCAGCGGTTGAAGTGAAGTGATGGCCCATTTACCTCGATCGATTATTCCTCCACAGTTCTTTACCGACCGAAACGCAAATTCGTGTTGAAACCCCAACCTGGAGGACGAAGAGACAACTTCGTCTGACCTCCACCTATTGACCTTTCAGACATAATAAGATCTCCTGGCTTTATAAAGCCGTCCTGTGTAGCTCTTTGGGTCATAGGTGCACAAGTCATCACACCACGTCAAGGTGCATTCTCGTCGTGATGGAGATTATGGCTGACTCGTGGTATAAACAGACCGAATCTCGCGAGTGGAATGGCGACAGGTTGCCCAGGCCGAAGGATTTTAATGTTCTTAGGAGGTTCACAACTGGAGCCCTCGGCTAGCCAGAGGCTGTCCCTCAAAGCACTGGTTCTGTGTGTCAAACTGCAGTTTATTGGTAATCAGTGTCCAGTTAATTGGATCGTACGCCCTTTGGACGGGTTCCAAGGTTCTCCATGCCCCTTGCTGTTCATTCACGCTGGCTACCACATCCAGATCGGAAGATGTGTGTGGTTTGTACGTCTATTTTGGGTTGGTTTGGAATCAGGATTTTTTATACAACTCCTCTACATAGACTGCCAGTGGTTCATTGATCGGGTTATATCCCCAAATGATGGTTTTTCGTCCTCCACTTAGGCAGGAAACCATCGCCACGTAAATGTAATGAGCAGGGTTTCCTCGGCAGAGGCTAGTTGATATGCTGAATCGTACAGGAGCCTATCGTGAGATGCGAGGGAAGAGCTAGTTGTAGCTATAAAATATACTTATCCTCGACCGCAATGAGCTTTTAAGGAGATGTCAGTGTTAATATAAGTAGTTTCGATCTTACAACGTCTTTAACAGAACGAATGCGAGGGCTTAGGTTGTGGACTCCTCAGGATAATTCACGTGCCTTGGCCTAAGCAACCTGGCAATATTCGGCCCACATGCAAATCGTGGAACGTTTTTCTTTTTATAACGATAACTGTACCATGATTTGTTTGGCACACAGTCTTGTTTCAAACGTGTGTGAAACAGTATTATAATAATAATAATAATAATAATGAGTTAAGCTGTATTTGATTACATGTTTTACTTCGCCCTGTTCTTGTTTTTTTCTCTAATTGTATTCATTTTGGGTGAACAGCTTTGATTAATTTCATCTTGATTCTAACTTACCATCTATCTTTGTAGGTGTCAGCATGCCGCATACTATCCTGTTGCTGCAACCATGTGCCAAAAAACCAGACACACGCACCTGGTCAGATTATGAAACTGTGGAACAATGCTTGGAGTGTGTTTGCAAAATTTACGAAGAACATTTGAAACGAGAGAATCCGAATGCACCAACAATAACATATGATATTTCCCAGCTATTTCAGTTTATCGATCAGTTGGCGGATCTGAGCTGTCTTGTATACCATGAACCGACCTACACATATGTGCCTCACCCGAAAAATTGGATAAAGGAACAGGTCTATATCTTGCTGCGTAATCAAGCTGGCCAGTGATTCCGTGATACATTCGTTTTCGCGTGGGTCCTGATTAATGGTTTGGAATATTTGTAATATATATATATATATATATACGTGTAATACCGTGCATCGGTTCTCGACCGTCGTTATCGTTTTCTTGTCCCACTCATACATCTCCCCTTTTAAACTCCCGTTTTGTACATTTTTGTCCTGGTAACGGTTGGTGATATCCCATTCGTTGGTCGATCAGTTTGTCTGCCGAATTTTTGCGAAAAATGTTTTCAACATGGTAATACCAACGAGGAATAAAGGTTAGATTGGTATTAAAGTATTTAGCAGTTAATCCAATTTCCAGTTTCACTCGACTACCTCCTGCTGAAAAATTGGTCGACTCCATGGACATTGTCCATAGTTTACTAGAAATAGGATAGGAAACGTTGTTCTCATCACCGTTAGCAGTCACCCAATCCGGAGTAGAACGTAGATCAACGGCAGTTCATCCGGCCCTTTTGTTAGACGCTGCATGTCCAAGGACAGGCTTCCAGGCAGCAGGTTTAGTCCAAAGAAGCTGTTAACCAATTGTGTAGTCCGCTCATTTCCGGAAGACCTTATCGGTTAGATATAGAATGACAAGTAAAAACCTTAATTGACAGCGATCGGTGAATGAACCCGACGACAGACTGATTCACATTCAGCAACGCTCTTTTGATCTATGTGCGAAACATTTTGTGGGGCGTTGGTCATTTTATTGATTTACAAAAAAGGTGATAGGTCCTCTTCTGGTCTATCGCGTTGATACGGTCCCTCAGCTAGAGCAATAACCCTGTTTCTCTTTACCATTATCCGTACTCGCTGACAGTGATTCGCGTTTTTTTTACCGTAGGTAGTTGGATACTCGAACGTGCTTGAATGGTAAAAAATCCAAAACTGGCGCCACAGTGTACAGTGTAAGTGACGTTATAAAGTATTGACGGAGTCAATGTAGAGGTTAGATAGTCGAATGGGAATACTATTGGGTTCAGCTCAACGACCCCAAAATCTTCATTCAGCTAGTGTGACGGTAACTTGAAGCTCACTCTTTGAGAATCGGTTTCACATTGACGCATGACACTGCCCACGGAGCTTCAGTCGGAGATGAAGCAACCTGGTTAGCACTAGGCCAGCTGAATTCTTAGCTGAAGTAATCTGCCCAGCGATCGAGTCGTTGATGCCTATTGTGAATAGCTTGTCCCCTCTTATCGCAGATTGTTTCACTAACTGGGGTTCGCCAACCTCCCGTAATGCGTATCAGTTGGAACAGTCTTTGACTATTCCCTGATGCAGCCGCTACTTCGATTTCACTAGCTCACCAGTTCTCATGGTCCTTTTTGAGGCCCGTTGTGAGCTGATGTAGCTGCCACCTAACTTTATTTTGATCCTGGCAGATCGGGATTTGTCGCTTTTGCTCCATTAGGGCTACTGACTCCTGATATAACCAGTGCCTCCGACGGGTTTGAGGCTCAGTCCCACAAGCAACGTTCGCTGCGGAATGCATTGCTCGCCTACTCTGATCTCAGTGCTCATCTACATCACCACGTTGAAGCGCGCTCAGCTCACGCATTAGCTCTGATTCATAGCGCACAAGAAATGCTGGAACAGATAGTCGATGGTGAGCTGTATGAGTTTGCTGAATTTGTCGCAGGCCAGCCAGTCGGAGAGTGAACTGCATTAAAACTGATGCGTGGTCATCCTCAACGAAGGTGGTTCGATGGGACCTGCAATTTTGCACTGAGGCACGCCAACGGTAACTTACTGATATGTGGTCGATTTGAGTTAGCGTACCAGTTGAACTGGGGCACCACGTTGCCGTTCGTCGAGAACTGTGTCGGAAGTTGGTGCTTGACAGGAACAGATGATTGTCTGCGCAGAACTGAAGAAGTCGATTGCCGTTATCTGTTCGTTGGCTGAACAGAGCATAACTACCGCCTAGACAAGCTTCTGATGCGCCCAGTTTTCCAACCTGCGCGTTGAAGTCACCTGCAGATACAACTATGTCGAAGCTTCGACTCTTCGGAATTAGATCGGTGAGGTCATCGTAGAAGGTGTCCTTTTGGGTATCAGAACTGCGATTGGTCGGTGCATATGCTGATACAATGAACAAACACCTTTTGGTGTTGCTTCCGTTCCAGACGCTGATTGAACCCTGGAGACGCACTGCACATAAACGACTGTTGACGGGGATCCAATCGATAAGAGAGGACTCCCCCCTATTAC